ACCCCCGCGCCCCCCAGCCCCACGCCGCGCCCCGCCAACGCCACGGAGCCCCCACGGCCGCGGCGGCACCCCCTGCAGCCGCCGTACCCCTACCCCTACCGCTTCCTGCTGAACCACCCCGACAAGTGCCGGGAGCGGGCGCCGTTCCTGGTGCTGCTGGTGGTGACGTCCCCGGCCGACCTGGAGGCGCGCGACGCCGTGCGCCGCACCTGGGGCGACGAGAGCGCCGTGCCGGGGCTGTCGGTGCTGCGGCTCTTCCTGCTGGGCGTGCACCCCGTGTTCGGCGCCGAGCTGCGCCCCGTGCTGCAGGAGGAGGACGCGCTGCACGGCGATCTGCTGCAGCAGGATTTCCTGGACACCTACAACAACCTGACGCTCAAGACGCTGATGGGCTTGGAGTGGGTGAGCCGCTTCTGTCCCAACGCCAGCTACGTGATGAAGGCCGACCACGACGTCTTCCTCAACCTGGAGTACCTGGCGGGGCTGCTGCGGCCGCCCAGGACGGATTTCCTGACGGGTTACGTGTACCGCTGGACCGGGCCGCTGCGGAACCGCGCCTACAAGTGGTTCGTGCCGCGGGAGGTGTACCCCAACGACACGTACCCGCCCTACTGCGGCGGGCCCGGCTACGTGCTCTCGGGGGACCTGGCGCTGCGCGTCTTCGGGGTGGCGCAGACGCTGCCCGTCATCAACATGGAGGACGCCTTCGTGGGCATCTGCCTGCACGCGCTGGGCGTGGGCGTCACCGACCCGCCGCCCGGCGCCTTCACCATGTACCGGCTGGACTACGAGCGCTGCCGCTTCTCGCGCCTGGTCATGGTGCACCACTACGGGCCCCGGGAGCTGCTGCGGCTGTGGCCGCACTTCCGCAACGCGTCCCTCAGGTGTCCCTAGGGCGGGGACGCGCCGGGCTCCAACCGTGCCGCTGGCTGCGGGTGGCACTGGGAGCTGCTGGCTGTGACTGGGATCTGCCGGTGTCGCTGGGATCCACTGGCTGTGACTGGGATCTCCTGGTGTTGCTGGGATCCACTGACTGTGACTGGGATCTCCTGGTGTTGCTGGGATCCACTGGCTGTGACTGGGATCTCCTGGTGTTGCTGGGATCCACTGGCTGTGACTGGGATCTCCCAGTGTCACTGGGAGCCGCTGGTGGCACTGGGAGCTGCTGGCTGTATCTGGGATCTCCCGGTGTTACTGGGATCCATTGGTGTCACTGGGATCCACTGACTGTAACTGGGATCTGCCGGTGTTGCTGGGATCCACTGGTGTTACCGGGATCTCCCGGTGTCACTGGGATCCATTGGTGGCACTGGGAGCTGCTGGCTGTATCTGGGATCTCCCAGTGTCACTGGGATCCACTGACTGTAACTGGGATCTCCCGGTATCACTGGGATCCACTGATTGTAACTGGGATCTCCCAGTGTTACTGGGATCCACTGGTTGTAACTGGGATCTCCCAGTGTCACTGGGATCCACTGGCTGTAACTGGGATCCACTGACTGTAACTGGGATCTCCCGGTATCACTGGGATCCACTGATTGTAACTGGGATCTCCCGGTGTTACTGGGATTCCACTGGCTGTAACTGGGATCTCCCGGTGTTGCTGGGATTCCACTGGCTCTAACTGGGATCTCTTGATGTCACTGGGATCCACCGGTGTTACCGGGATCCACTGTCTGTAACTGGGATCCACTGACCGTAACCGGGATATCTTGGTGTCACTGGGACCCACCGGCTGTAACTGGGACCTCTCTGTGTCACTGGGATGCACTGGAGCCACTGGGATCTCTCCTGTAACTGGGATCCACTGGAGTCGCTGGGATCTCTCCTGTAACTGGGATCCACTGGAGCCACTGGGATCTCCCGGCGTCAGCCCGTGCCTGGTCCTGGCTGCGGAGCAGCCGCTGAACCTCGGGGTCCCCCCGGGCCGTTCCTGTCCCTCTGAGCCTGGAGCTGCTGCTCCATCCCTTCACCGAGCTGTTGTTTGGTTATCGAGGATCGATCAGGGCCGGGATCCGCCCGGATCTGGGATCCGCCGCGCCGCGTTAACTTATATCCAAAGTTTTTAATAAAAGGGCTGGAGCCTCGTCCGCGCCGGTGCCGGTGCCGCTGTCCCGATGGATCCGGGTCGGGAAAGGGCCCTGGCGCCGGAATGTGCCTCGCTCTGGGCAGCATTCCCGGTGTTTGCCAGGCCGTGCCCCGCTCCAGGCACCATTCCCGATGGTGCTTCCCAGGATGTGCCACATTCCAGGCATTGTTCCTGGTGTTTGAGGGGCCGTGCCCTGCTCCAGGTGCCATTCCTGGTGTTTGCCAGGTGCCATTCCCAGTGTTTCCCAGGCCGTGCCCTGCTCCAGGTGCCATTCCCAGTGTTTGAGGGGCTATGCTCTGCTCCAGGTGCCGTTCCCAGTGTTTGAGGGGCTGTGCCCTGCTCCAGGTAGCATTCCCGGTGTTTCCCAGGCCATGCCCTGCTCCAGGTGCCGTTCCCAGTGTTTGAGGGGCTGTGCCCTGCTCCAGGTAGCATTCCCGGTGTTTCCCAGGCCATGCCCTGCTCCAGGTGCCGTTCCCAGTGTTTGAGGGGCTGTGCCCTGCTCCAGGTAGCATTCCCGGTGTTTCCCAGGCCATGCCCTGCTCCAGGTGCCGTTCCCAGTGTTTGAGGGGCTGTGCCCTGCTCCAGGTAGCATTCCCGGTGTTTCCCAGGCCATGCCCTGCTCCAGGTGCCGTTCCCAGTGTTTGAGGGGCTGTGCCCTGCTCCAGGTGCCATTCCTGGTGTTTCCCAGGCCGTGCCCCGCTCCAGGCGCCGTTCCCGGCGCTTCCCAGGATGTGCCACATTCCAGGCATTGTTCCCGATGTCTGAGGGGCTGTTCCCAGTGACTGAGAGGCCGTGCCCCACTCCAGGTGCCGTTCCCGGTGTTTTCCAGGATGTGCCACATTCCAGGTGCCATTCCTGGTGTTTGAGTGCCCCACTCCAGGCATCATTCCTGGTGTTTTCCAGGGTCCGGAACCACCGGCACAAGATTCATCCAAAGGAGACACAAGGCCCCAGTTCAACCCCAGAGTGCCCCCAAGTTCAGCCCCAGTTTGGTCCCAGTTCAACCCCAGTTCAGCCCCAGTTTGGTCCCAGTTCAACCCCAGTTCAGCCCCAGTTTGGCCCCAGTTGAACCCCAGTACTCTGAACTTAAGGGGTTTAAGGGACAAAGACTTGGAATTTAGTTTTGTTTTTTTTATGAGAACCCTCCCAGTGTTGGGGTTTGGAGATGCAGAACAACGTACTGGGAGCCCGAACCATCCCAAATTTTGGGTTTATTCACCTCCTGACCCCCCTCCCTCCCAACCCCCGACGCTTTCCCCAAAAAAACTGAAACCACCAAAGCCAGAAAATACCGAAAAAAGCTCCTTTTTAACGCACTTCACAAAAGCAGAACAACGAGGGCCCGTCCCCCAGCCGGGGCCTGGGAAAAGGCTCCAGAATTGGATTGACTTCCCCGAAAAAAAAAAAAAAAACAACCAAAAAAAACAAAACAAAACAAAAACGAATAAAACCCCAAAAATAATAATAATAATCCTATTTAGACCAAGTCGTCGTGGCAACTACGACCCATTAAATAGAGGCCCAGGGGCGGCGGGCGCGGGGCGGCCGCCGGTGACGGGTCACACAGAGCAACGGGGCGGGGGGAAAAAAGGGGGATAAAACCCGGAGGATCCCGGGGGCAGCGCGGCGGGACACGGGGGTTTATCTGTACTGGTAACTCATGCTGTGCTCGTTCCTGCCGTATCCACCCTGGGACGCCTGGTAGGAGCTGGGGGGGCCGCTGTAGTTCTGGGAACCTGGGGAGTTGTAGTTGGACTGGGAGGAGTATCCACCTGCGGAGAGCGCCGGGAGGAGGAGGAGGAGGAGGAAGGAATTAGGGTGGCCGTGGAGCTGGAGCAGGGCCCCAAACCCGGCGGCGTGGGGGTGTCAATACTGACCTGCCTTACCTTGGTACGAGGAGCCCCCGCCCCCGGAGCCCCCGTAGCCCCCGTGGGAGCCCGAGTTGTAGGAGCCGCCCCCGGAGTAGTTGTTGCCGCCGCCGCCGCGGCCGCTGTTGCCGCTGTAACCTGGGAACGGGGAAAAAGTGGGGATGAGGATGTGGGCAGGGACCCCCAGCACCCTCAGGGCACTCAGTTCAACTAAGCCAAGCCCCCCTCGAGACCCTGGAATTCCAGGAGGATTTGGGTGCGAAGGGATCTTTATCTGACCCTGGCAGGGGCATTCTGAGCCTTGGATTATCCCCTAGGAATGTGCCCTGGGCTGGGCACCCACCCCCTCTGTCCCCTCTCCCTGTCAGACTCATCCCAGCTCCAGCCCCAAATCCCTTTTTTAACCCAAACTTCCCCTTATTTGCAGCTCCAGCCCAAATCTCTCATTTAACCCAAACCTCCCCTTATTCACAGCTCCAGCCCCAAATCCCTTTTTTAACCCAAACTTCCCCTTATTTGCAGCTCCAGCCCCAAATCCCTTTTAACCCAAACCTCCCCTTATTCACAGCTCCAGCCCCAAATCCCTCTTTTAACCCAAACCTCCCCGTATTTGCAGCTCCAGCTCCTGGGAGGGGCAGGAAGACCCCCCTGGAGCTCTCTCTGCCTGCCCCAGCCCAGCCCCAGCCCAGAGGGGTCACCAGGGTCCCCTCCCACTACTGCAGAGACAACCCTGAAACAACTTTGACCCAACTTTGGGATCAAACCCAACCTCAACCCTTAACTCCAAACCTCTCCCACCCACCGCTCCCCCTCTCCACTCACTGTATTTGCTCTCGTAGTTGTAGTCGGAGCCGCCGCCGGGCGAGTTGTAGGAGTTGGAGTAGGAGTAGCCACCCTGGCCGTGGCCGTAGCCTTTCTGCTTGCCCTGCCCGGGGCCGTAGCCGCCGTACTGGCCCTGCCCGTAGGGCTGCTGGCCCTGGTGGGTGCCGTAGCCGGAGCCGTACGAGGCCTTCTGGCCGCCGCCGTGCTGCTGCTTCTTGCCGCCGTGCTTGGGCGGCGCGGGGGCCGTGTAGTTCCAGCAGGATCTCCCATCTGGACTGATCCATCCCTGTGATTCCAGCAGGATCCCCCATCTGGATCCATCCTGGGCCTCCCTCAACCCTACGAAGTCCAAACAGCATCCCGGAGTGAGATGCTCTGGAGTGAGGGAGAATCCTGCTCCAGGAATGAGGAATCCACATGACTGCACCGTTTATCTTCCTGGGATTTGGGTAATTCCACCTGGGAGTTCATCTGGGTTCGATTTCATCTCTTCAAGGTCCCACAGCCGAACTCTGAGTGCTTCTTTTCCTGCCCAATTCCTGCCATTCCATGGAGAACTGGGAGCATCCAAAACGAAACTTATTTTTGAGGGAAAAAAAAGCCACCGGAATCTAAAACCCCGTGGGATCAGGAGGGATCTGCCAGCAGCAAAACGGGGCAGAATTTGGTTAAAAAGGATCCAAGGAGTGAAATTCCACGTGCTTCACTTCTACAGCTCCATGTGGAACACCCAGACTGATCCCAGGTGAATCCCAGCTCCGTCCCCAAATCCCGTGGCTGTGCTGCCAAGAGCTTCTGGAAGATTTAAATTCTGGGATCCATTAATTCTGGGATCATTTAGTGGATTCTCTTCCATGTCCCCTTTTCCACGTGAAGATTTTATTCCTCTCCCACAGAAAATTCCGGATTCACTCGGCAGAAACGAGGCTCTGGAATAAATTTATCTCCAGGGTCGGAGCAAAACTTGTCTCTGCTGGAGCAGAGTCCCCTTGGGCCATCCCAGTGGGAAAATCCTGGGGTTTGGATCCAGGAGTGGGGGGATTCAGGCAGCAGAGCTGGAAGTGGAGCTCTCCCACCTCAAGAGTCCCGGATTTTCCACCTTATCCCAACATTCCGAGCGGAATTCCAAAGCTTTCATGCTTGACACGGGATTAGCTGTGATTTTCCCCAAATCAGAGCTCAGGGACAGAAATATCCAGCAGCACGTGGTGGCTTGGGAAGGGCAGTTTTTCCACCTGGGAGAGGGGCTGGGGTGGGAGGGATCCTAAGGATTATTTCTGGATCCTCCAGGATGGGATCTGTCCCCTGGATAAAGAGTCAGGACCTCCAACAATGGTTGTTATTTTTCAAAAAAAGGGGATAATTATTATTACAAATATTTTAAGGATCCACTGAACCCCTTGGATTCACTCAGTTTAAACCCAGAGCTTCCTTTTCCTTCTTTTTTTTGGTTAAATTATGGAATTAACTCAAGGCCCTCAAAGATGGGAACCACGTTGCCACATAATCCAGCAAAGACAACTTTTAAACTCAAACCACAAGGAATAAAAGACCAAAACACTTGGAATTTGACGGGTTCTGAGACTCAAGCCAATTCCAAAATTCCCCTCAGTTCCTGATTTTGGGGATATTTCATTCTCCAGGTGATTCCAGCACTCTGAGGAAGGATTTTGCTCCAAGAGCCCATTTCCATGGCAACCACAGATTTCCCAAAGCATCCAAGACATTCCCCAATGCCTGGATATTTATCGGATCGGGATGGGAGCACAGGAACAATTCCCAGAGCCCAGCGTGGTTCAAAGGATTTGCTTCAGCACACAGGCAAATCCAAGCATTCCAACAAATCAGGAAATTTCACGTCTTTAAAAGGCTGGGCTGGACCAGATCCATGTGGAAAAATCTTCCCAACACCCAGAGGGGTCTGACCCAATCTCTGGGATTTATTAAAAGGTTTGGATTTTGTAAGAAAAAAACCTTGCTGTAAGCTAAGACAGAATTGATGAAAACGCTTTGGTTTCCTTAAAAACCAAGAACCGATAAAAAAAAAAAGCTCCTCTCCCTTGAGCCATTTTCCTGGGAAATTTTAGTCCCCATCACGATGACACCTGTTGGGATTTTGGGGGGAAAAAGGGACTTACTGTAGCCAGCAGTGGCGGAATTCCCTCCGTAGCCGTAGCTCCCGTACCCAGCCCCTGGAGAGGAAGGAAATGTTGGAATAAACAGAGATTCCAAGGGTGAAATGTCCTGAATTTGGGGGGCCATTTCCCCATGGAGGGCTCCAGGAAATCCAACCGACATGGACACAACACCAGAGGGGGATTTGTTCCCTCACAGGGATTTGGGGGGCTCTGGAACATCCAGGAGCCATGGACACAACACCAGAGGGGGATTTGTTCCCTCCAGGGATTTGGGGGGCTCTGGAACATCCAGGAGCCATGGACACAACACCAGAGGGGGATTTGTTCCCTCCAGGGATTTGGGGGGTTCTGGAACATCCAGGAGCCATGGACACAACACCAGAGGGGGATTTGTTCCCTCACAGGGATTTGGGGGGCTCTGGAACATCCAGGAGCCATGGACACAACACCAGAGGGGGATTTGTTCCCTCCAGGGATTTGGGGGGCTCTGAACATCCAGGAGCCATCACCACAACGCCAGAGTGGAGGAAGAGGGGTCATTCCCCTGCGGAGAGTTCTGGAACCTCCAGGTGCCATACCAGGGGGGAAGGATGATGCCCAGGGGTGCTAGGGGGGTCTGAGCCCCCCCAGGTGTGCTGCTGGCCCTCACCTGTGTTCATGTAGCCGCCGTGGTTGCCGCCGAAGCCGCCCCGGCCTCTCCCCCGGCCCCGGATGTTGCCGCCCCGGCCGCGGCCCCGCATGTTGGGGGGCGGGGGGGCCTCGTTGTGCATGGGCCCCCCCCCCATGCCGAAGCCCGGGTTGTGCTGCTGTGGGGACAAGGAGAAGGGGACAGAGGTGTCACTTGGAGCTGGGGTGAGGGATTTCCCAAAATCTGAAGCAGAGCCCCAGGATGAAACAAGAGCCACTGAGGTGGAACCCAAATTCAGGCACCTCCAAATCCAGAGGTTTTCTGCTGCAAAACCTGATGGGTTTTGTGCTTCCAAGCTGTTTGCTTTGCTCCCAGAAAAGGACCAAACCCCAGAGCCAATGGCTGGTGAGTTACACCCCAGAGTTAGATCCCAGGTTGTTTCCCATTCCAGACCAGTTCCCATCAGTCTTTTCCTGTTTTAGACCAGTTCTGATCCGTATTTTCTCATCTTGGCCTGGTTCCCATCAGTTTTTTCCCACTCCAGACCAGTTCCCATCAGTCTTTTCCTGTTTTAGACCAGTTCTGATCCGTATTTTCTGATCTTGGCCTGGTTCCCATCGGTCTTTTCCCACTCCAGACCAGTTCCCATCAGTCTTTTCCTGTTTTAGACCAGTTCTGATCCGTATTTTCTGATCTTGGCCTGGTTCCTATTGGTCTTTTCCCATTCCAGACCAGTTCCCACCACTCTTTTCCCATTCCAGAGCTGCGGGATTGGGGATTTCACTCACTTTGACTGGGAATTTGGGGCCACCCCTGGCTGGAACAGGGGCTCTTTTCTTCTTGTTCTGCTCGATGGCAACGGGAGCATCTGGGAACAGCTTCTCCAGCGCGGCCAGCGCCGCGTAGGCTTTGGCCACCTTCTTGTTTGAGCCAGCACCTTGGAACTTCTGCCCGTCCACCTCCACCTTGGAAAGGGATGGAACCACACATTGAAGTGGGAAAGGGCAGGAAAAGATGGCAGACCTACAGGGAATCCCAGAGCTGGAAGTGTCACAGGCTGTCCCTGCCTAATAACGAGCTTTAAAAGGTTTCTCCGAAGCCAAACCTCTTGGATTTGATGATTTAAACTCTTGGGAGGGGATGAGGTGGCTTTCCAGGCTCTTTTCCCACCCGAGGAGCTCTGGATTGGAGCTGCTGGGAAGGGCAGGAGGTGCTGTGTCCCCTCACCTCCATGACAAAGCGCTTGTCGTGGCTCCCGCCCGTCTCTGAGATCAGCTCGTACTTGAGCCCGCGTCGCTTCTCGTTCAGCTCCATCACCGGGTTCTTCCCGTGCTTTGTCAGGATTGGTCCCTGCTGCTTCACGTTCTGCAGGCACAGAAAGGCTGGCTGAGCCCCAAAACATCCATCCCCACTTCACACGGAGCTGCTCCCCAACTTTTTTGGGAAGGACACCCAAGGAGCCACTTCCGCCTCCTGCTTTCGCCAGGAGTGACCCAAAACCAGCACCAGCACAGCTGCCACGGTGCCACGTGTCCCGTGCCACGTCCCCCCACCCACCTCAGGGGTCTGATCCGAGGGGGGTGAGGCTGCTGTGGGCGTTGACACCGTTTCCACCACAGGCGGAGGAGCCACCACCACCGGCTTCGTCTCCGTCTCCTCCGCCGACTCGTCGCCCTTGCTGGAGTCCTTGCCTTCCACCCCGGTGGGCAAACCCATGTCCTGCAGCACCTGGAGGGCAGCAGGGAGGTCAGGAGCCATGCTCCAGCACCACCCACTTGGGAAAACACTCCAGGAAGCTGCTCCAGGCTTTTTATTGACTCCTCTGGTGCTCAGCATTCCCGAATCCTGCGGGCACTCAAGGGGACACTTGAGGCTGGGAGCTCCTGGTGCTGCTCCCACCCCATCCTGGAGGTTCTGCTGCTTTTCCCATTCCCATTCCCATTCCCATTCCCACTCCCATTCCCACACTCACCTTCACAGCCACGTGAAGCTTCGCCGTTTTCTTGGACGGCCCCGAGGCCTCGAAGGTGCTGCCGTCGATCTCCACGGACATGGTGAAGATGGGAGCGTGCACGGGGCCGGTCTGGGACACCAGTTTGTACTGGAGCCCTGGTTTGAGCTGGTTCAGCTTCATCAGCGCGTTCATGGCCTGTGGAGGCTCCAGCTTTTCCTCTGCACGGGGGGAAAAACAACACCGAGAGTTTGTGGGTGTTTGGCGGCTCCTTTGAAGAAGCAAAACTGATTCCAGGCCAGTATTTTCCAGTTTGGGGCCAGTTTTAATTGGTGTTTTTTAATTTCAGACCAGTCCTGATAGGTGTTTGCTAATTCCAGACCAGTTCCCATGGGTCTGTTGCCATTCCAGACCAGTTCCCACCAATCTTTTCCAATTGCAAATCAGTCCTGACCAGTCTTTTCCCACTTTAGACCAGTCCTGACCAGTCTTTTCCCATTTTACACCAGTCCTGACCAGCACTTTCTGATCTCAGACCAGTTCCAACTGGTCTTTTCTCGTTTTAGACCAGTTCCCACTGGTCTTTTCTCATCCCAGACCACTTCCCATTGACCTTTCCCAATTCCAGAGCAGTCCCCATTGATCTTTTCCAATTCCACACCACTTCTGACTGGTCTTTTCCTATTTCAGATAAGTTCCCCTCAGTCTTTTCCACCTCCCAGACAAGTCCTGACCTTTTCCTCCTTGGTTTCAATTCTGCTCAGCACAAATCTCCCACTTTTAAGTTGTTTTATCCATCCCCACACCCCTGTACCCCCTATCTACAGCCCCCCCAAGCCCCCACCCCCGCACTGTACCCCCAATTTCCACCCCATTTCCCCCCAGGCCGTACCTACCTCTCGTTAACTCAATACCTTTTTTCTGAATCTTCTTTTTCTTTTTGCTGGGAGATTTCTCCTCCCCATCCTCCTCCATCGGCCGTTTCATGGGGGTCACGGCGTACGTGGTGCTGGGCGGGATCTGAACTGCAGCAACGAGCACAAGCACTCCCTAAATCCCCTGGTTTCCACCCAAATCCTCAGGATGGGATGCGGGGCCGTCCCCCTCCCGGTACGTACCAGTATAATCGACTGGGTTCTCGTTCTTTGGTTTCTTGGGCATTTTGGAGGGCAGGGGATCCATGCCCAGGACCTTGTGGAGCTGGCCGAAGGCGGCGAGCCGCAGCGCGTGCTGGGGACAGGAGCGGGGGTCACCGGGAGCTGCCGGAGACCCCCCCTGCTCTCAGCCCCACACAGCCCCCCTGCACCGATCCATCCTCAGCGGGGCTCTCCCACTGAGTCTTTTGGGGACTTTCACCCAAAAAGGGGCGTCGGGACAATTCGCTACTCAACACCTGATTCTTTGCTCTGGGTGGCCAAACTATGGGGCCCACGCGGGTGGCCTGGTGGGGTGACCGTGGCACCGAGTGACCACAGCACCGTGCGGCCATAGTGCTGAGTGACCACGGTGCTGAGTGACCACAGTGCTGAGTGACCACAGGTCTAATCTATGGTGGCCAAGGGAGCTGGGAGCGGAGCGAGCCGGGGATTGGGAAGGGCCGGATGGAGGTCACACTATACCTGAGCACTCTGTGTGATATCTTCCCTTTGTTGTCTGTCTAGATGCCCAATAGCATCAGTGGCTTCTTTTTCACAAGGGTCATAAATACCAGAACCATCTGAAGGCAGGAAACAAGGAAGATATGCAGAGAATTATCCCGGGTCTCTACCCTAAATTCCCTGGGGCAGCTCCGAAGGCGCGGCTCGCCGGGATTTCTGTGGGATTGGCCGTGGGAATGGCACTCCCCGGGAGCCAAACTCTCTCTACGGGGCTGAGGCGGCTCCAGAGCACGGCAGGGCCGGGAATCTCCCCGTGCCCGTGGGGATGGAGGGGGGCTCCCGACCGCCGGCACCCCCCGCGCTCCTCCCGGCTCCGCTCCCGCGGGAACGCCGCGGCCGGAGCTCACCTGGCCGGAGCTCACCTGGCCGGAGCTCACCTGGCCGGAGCTCACCTGGCATGACGATGCCCGAGGCCAGGCACTCCAGCACCCGGCGCAGCGCCTCGCCCGCGCCCATGGGCCGGTTGGCCGTGCCGATGGACTTCTCACACAGCAGCTCCAGAGGCTGCAAGGGAAGGAGGGAAGTGAGGGAAGGGAGAGGGGAGAGGGAGCCCGGAGAGGGGCCTGGAAAAGGGATCCTAGAGAGGGACCTGGGAAAGGGGTCTCAGAGAGGGACCTGGGAAAGGGATCCTAGAGGGGGACTGGGAAAGGGATCCCAGAGAAGGACCTGGAAAGGGATCCCAGAGAAGGACCTGGAAAGGGATCCCAGAGAAGGACCTGGAAAAGGGATCCGAGGAAATGGACCCCTGGGAAAGGGATCCCAGAGAGGGACCTGGATAACGTGATTTGGTAGCTGAGAAAATGTTTTGATAATAATGTGATTTAATAATTGATAAAACAACTCGATAGTAAGGTGAGTTGATAACTGATAAAGCAACTCAGTAACAACCTGAGCTGATAACTGATAAAGCAATTCAGCATCAAGGCGAGCTGATAATTCATTACCAATTTGATAACAACGTGAGCTCATAATTAGCTGACAATTGATAAACCCACTCGCACACAGACATTTGATTTGTGTCTCTAAGTGCAGAGAAGCCGTCCATCCACAGAAATCCCCAACCTGGGAAAGGGGACGTGCCTGGAACCTTGGGAAAGAGCAGAGCTGCATTGGGAGAAAGACCACCAACCCCCCCGGAAGGGGAAAAGGGGAATTACCCATCCTCTGAGCGGGGCCCAGGTGGGAACGCGCGTGCACAGGTCCCGCAGCACCCGGATGACGATGACGCACGACTTCAGCCCGTTGGCCCTGGCCTGGAAGCGGAACCAAACCAGACAGGGGTTCACCGAGCGCCCGCCCGCGCCGCCGACGCTCCCTCCAGGTGCTGCTTTGCCGAGGGGAAAGCCGGAGCCTGGGCCCGCGCCCGGAGCCGCGCCGCGACAGCCGAGGCTTGGCCAAAGTCTTAGCCAAGGTCCTAACCAAGGGGTTGGCCAAGGCCTTAGCCAAGGAGTTGGCCAAGGTCTTAGCTAAGGGCTTAGCCAAGGGGTTGGCCAAGGCCTTAGCCAAGGAGTTGGCCAAGGTCTTAGCTAAGGGCTTAGCCAAGGGGTTGGCCAAGGTCTTAGCCAAGGGGTTGACCAAGGGGTCGGCCAAGGTCTTAGCTAAGGTGTTGGCTAAGGGGTTGGCCAAGGTCTTAGCTAAGGTGTTGGCCAAGGGGTTGGCCAAGGTCTTAACCAAGGTCTTGGCCAAGGGGACGTTACTCCTCACACAAAGTGGCAGCTCCGCGGCTGCTCCGCACAAAGGCTCCTAAGTCACTCCAGCGCCCACAGTCCGGCACCTCCGAGCGGCCAGCGGCCACTTGAAACTCCAACTCCAAAAAAACACTCAGCCCCTTAAAAGAGTTTACCAACGCTTCTACTTAAAGATAAATATAAGAACAAAATGCAAACCTGGAACCACTTGGCGTGGCGCAGAGACGCCAAGGCAGCAAGGCATTTCTGCCTGTCCAGAACGTCCGGGGAGTCGGTGACTGAGAGCGTTTCTAGTCGTGGATGGAATAAGAAGACAAGGCACGGTTTGACCAAGGGGCTTCTGTCGGGCCGAGGGGGATGAGGCAGCATCCTAACGGGCAGCTGAGGCTCCCAAAAAATCCTGCTGGGATGCTGGGAGCGGGAGGGAAGGGGCTGCGGCGCTGCCGCCGCGCGGCCTCGCCTGGGCACTGGGGAAGCTCAACTCCCAGGGAGGGATGGACTGGAATGTGCGCTGGGAGAAGGAGGAGGAGGAAGAGGAGCAGGAGGAGGAGGAGGAGACCGGGCATGAGGCTCGGTGGAGGGCACAGAAATAAATCCTGGATGGATGGAGAGGCGGCGGCGAGGCCGGCGATGGGGAAATTTGAGGGGGTGAAACGCCGGCTCCGCAGCGGGAGCGCAGCGGGTGGGGAGGAGGGAAGGGCGAGGCTTGGAGAGGATCCAGGGAACCCTCCGCCCGGAAGGATGGCTGCCCCGGCCCCGGCCCGCGACAGAGAACGTCCTGTTGGTCAAAGGTCCAGCGTCCCTAAAATCGACAAACTAGAAGGCTCGGAGACGAGGTCAGAGATCAACACCAGAGATCAACAATCAAGAGCACAAAGAGGTCCCGGTTTGTGCTGCAGCAAAACTGAGGAAGGGCCTGAAGTCGCCCAAAATTGCTCGAGATCAGGGTTTTAGATAAGGCTAGTGCGGAGCGGGGGAACCGCCGGCCCTACGGAGCCCATCGGAATTGGAGCAGACAACCAGCAGCTGCTGGAATTCTGATTCCAAAGGGAATTTGGAGAAGCTAACTTTATCCAAAACTCTGCATCGCTTTCCGGAATTCTGAACCTGAGGTGCTGCAAGAGCCACGGGAGGAGCCCCGAGCACCCGGTGTTCTGCTGCAACACACACCGGGGGAACATCCCGGAACATCCCGGTTCATGGACATGCAACTCCTCGGACAAGAAGCCTTCAAGAGGGTTTTTTTTTTTTTTTTGGGTTTCTTAAACAAATCTGGTTTCTATTTTCATGTCACTGCACTGACATGGCCGGGGGACAAACCACGAGTAATACAACGAGATGATGAATTAGTGAACTAAAGGCCCAAGTGGAACCAAAAGAAAAAAATAAAATAGTAATACTTTAAAAAACAAAACAAAAAAAAAACCAAAAAACCAAAATAGAGCAAAATCCCGTGTGAAAGGTGCTCCTCAGCTTCGGAAGCTCGGTCCGGGTAAACCACAACCGGGATCTCAGCGAGGTTGGCAGTGAAGGAATTTGGATAGGATTTGGCCAGGAAGAGCTGCCACGGCTCCGGCTGAAGCTGAAGAGCACTTTCCCGGTCGTTAGCCGCGGGATGCCGGGCGCCGGCCGGCCGTACCTCCGGCCAGCTGCTTCTCCAGCTCCTCCCTGACCACGGGCGACGTCAGGTGGATGGTCAGGGTCAGCGGGGGCTCCTTGGTGTTCTTGATGATGATGGCGGCGTCTCCCACAGACTGGATGATCTCGTACTTGTCCTCGGTGATCGCCTGCAACGTTGGGGTGGAGATGGCTTGGAGTGAGATGGGTTTTAAAGTCCCTTCCAACCCAAACCGTTCCATGATTCCGTAATCCCGGAGCCCCTCTGCTGTGGGAATGTTCTCCTGGAGCAGGGAAGGCTCTGGGGAGACTTTGAGCCTCTTCCAGTGCCTAAAGGGGCTCCAGGAGAGCTGGAGAGGGACTTGGCACAAGGCATGGAGGGACAGGACAAGAGAGAATGGCTTCACCCTGGAAAAGGGGGGATTTAGATGGATTTTGGGAAGGAATTCCTGCCTGTGGTGGCAGGAAGGGGCTGGGACAGAATTCCCAGAGAAGCTGTGACTGCCCCTGGATCCCTGGAAGTGCCCAAGGCCAGGCTGGACAGGGTTTGGGGCCTGTGGAAGGTGTCATTGTCCATGAAGAGGATGAGCTCAAAGATCCCTTCCAACCCCAACCATTCCACAATTAACAAGTTCATTTAGCAATCCCAAAGAATGCCACCGCGCGCCTCTGGAAATGGCTCTTCCAACACGGGGACCAGAACCATCCCAAAGGGAATTTCCCTGTGGGCTCCACTCACCGCCAGCTGCACCCCCAGATTATCGGCGACTTTCTCCAGGAGCTTGGCTGTGGGCTTGTCTTTGCACAGCAGGACCAGCTCCAGGTCCAGGTCCCCCTTCAGCAGGAGGCCTTTGGCCACGAGCCCCACGCGCATCACCCCCCGCAGGGTCCTCGTCAGCTGCTCCGTGGCTTTCTGATCCCTGGAAAAAACACCAGAGAGGGTCACGATGGCGGAATTCACAGCCCGGTGATGCCTCACCCAACCGGAGGGATGGATCCACGAGGATCCGCCCGGAGCACTCGCCTCAACCCTGCCTTGGTTAATCCTCAAATCCCCAACCAGGGAAGACATCTATTCCACCAGCACGAGCGGGTTTTTAGGGAGCTAAGCGCATTTTAGGGATCTAAAGCAGGACGGTCCCTGCTCACCCTCCTTCCTTGCTCTCCTCCTCGGCCGCCGTCTCCATGGACTCCGTCTCTGGCTGCTCCCCACTGACTTTCTCCTGCTCGTCGATCCAGTCGGAGACGGCTTTGAGCGCTCGCTCCGTGTGGGACACCATGTTCTGCACGGCCTCCAGCTCCTCCTGCGTGGGGTACACGGCCGAGTGCTTGGCCATCACGTGCCGGTCGTCGTTCACAAAGATCCGCATCGGGCGCTGCCAGGGCGGGAATATTTAGGAATATTTAGGGAGCGCCGGGACACGGATATTCACCCCCATGCACCAGTCCCTCACCATTTTTGTTTTCTGCTGCCTGCCTGAACGTTTCAGAGGCGTTTATTTGGATTTTTCCGGCGGGCAAAGTGTCGCAGCACCGCGGCGTTCTGGGATCTGAAAGCGACAGAGAGCGGGTGAGCCGGGGCAGCCGGAGCAGCCAGAGCCTGGGGCACACGCTGGAGCTGGAAGCAGGAACAGCAATTAGACAGATCCCAACTCGTTAGCCAATGCCCAGCTTTCTCCTCCCGAGGATTTATATCCCCGAGACTTGCAGACTGACAATGGAGGACCACAGAGCATCTAATCCTTATTCCTGTTTATTCCCAAGAGGTTTTCCCATGAAATGGGACTTTTCCAAAGCTCCTGCTCCCGTCTCCAAAGCAGACAGAACTCCCCTCTCCACACTGGAGCAGCTGCCCTGGGAAATCCAGGTGGGAACCCAGCGCTCAGAAGTCCTGGAATTCAACAGATTCAGCCCAAGTGACACCAAATTCCTCCCTTTTTGTGGCAACCGCCCCCAGCTGGGGCAGCAGAGCCTTTTGTTCCAATTCGTTTTTGTTCCAATTTCTTCCAAGCTCACCCAGAGCTGGGGCTCACAATTTTAGGACAAAAACCAGGAAAACTCATTCCCTTGAGCCTCTGTACGGACACACAATTCCATCCAAGGAAACCCCTCCGATTCCAATCCTGCCAGTTCATTCACAGGATGACTTAATAGCGCCATAAATCTGCATTTAATTGTAATTAAGCCCCGACCGGAGCTGGCTGAGCAGGGAGAATCATTCCCAAGGAGCCACATGGCATCTCCCGGTGCCTTCTGCTCTGGGCTGGGTCCTGTTATTTTCCTTAAAATTCCCTCAGTTTCCTTCAGGCTAGATAAGGAAAGGGTTGAAATCCCACCCAGTTGTTCCTACAGTCAAAATCACAACAACCAGAGAGCTTTGTTCCCATTATCCCTCTTCTGGGATTTTTGGAGGGAGAAATCTGGGAGCTGATACTGCAGCACCACCAGACCCGTGTCTCTTGAGGAGAAGAACCACAGATTCAGTTAAACCAGGAGCCCAATCATGACAAAAACAATCCCTGCCCCTGGAAACGGGACAAACTCTGGAATATCACCTGGTTTTGGCCTCGTCCCCACCTCCGCTCCCACCCCCAGAAGGAATTCACCAAACTTCCCACGCTCCCAAGGGAAGGAGTGACTCTCCCGAGGAGGACAGAGGGAAAAACAACCAAAGGACATAAAAGGCTGGAATTTCTGCCCTAAACGTGGGAAAGCGTGTCACAGGCGAAGCCACGCTTGGGCTCAAGGCCGTGTTTTAAGAAAGAATTGGTGGCTTTTATCTGAGTTTTGACACCTGCCCGGGATGGATGAGGAGCCAGAACACCACGGCCCTCACGGGGAGCAGCCCAGGAACCCCGGGAGCGCGGATCCCAGCGGGAATCCCGGAGCCAGGGGGGCACAAAGCCCTCAGTCCCCGCCGCGCCGGGAAGGGGGTGCTGGATTTCTGTTCCTCTAAACCCTCCAGAAACGGAGCGGCCACGGATAACGGGGCTGGAGCAGCGGGAACCGTGAGGGAGCAGGGACAGGGGCCGCGAAAAGCTGAGGAAAGGAGAATCCTGGTTCTGAACAGGGAAAAGGGCTAAAATCCCCCCCGAAGGGGATGATCCCACTGCAATTCCCAGGCTGGGATGAGGTGGGATGGGGAGGGAAGAGGGGCTTTAAGCCCCTCCAAGGGGGTGATCCCACCTCCTCCATGATGCCCCCCCAGAACATCCCACCCAAGGGCTGCTGAGGGGGTCGGGAAAAGACCGGCCCCCCTCAGACCCCCCCCCATCCCCGTCCCCACTCCAGTGCAGGGCCGCGGGGCGGAACCGAGGAGGGGGCGCGGGGCCC